TATATATATATATAATTTATTTATTTATATTTATTTATTTATTTATTTTTGGGTCCGGTCATGGGGTCTGAACTGTGGGTCTGGGCACTGTCCCTCAGCTCTTCAGCTCAAGGCTAGCGTTCTACCACTTGAGCCACAGCACCACTTCTGGCTTTTTTCTTTTTGCTAATATGGTACTGAGGAATTGAACCTAGGGCCTCAGGCATGCAAGACAAGCGCTCTACCACTGAGCCACCTTCCCAGCCCTAGATCCTAAAATATTAATGAAGGGAAATTTTGTATTATAGAAGGTGATGGCTTTCCATGATTACAATATAGATTAATAACTGGGAAGCTTTTGTGTTGGTACTGGGGCTTAAATTTAGGGCCTCACACACTTGCTTGGCTTCTTCACTCAAGGCTAGTTCTCTACCAGTTGAGTCACAGCTCCACATTCAGTTTAAAAATAATTAAATATGTTTTAAAATTGTCATTGTTATTATTACATAGGTGATGTCCAGAGGGGTTACCATTTCATAAGTCAGGTAATGAGTACATTGCTATTTTGGACAATGTCACCCTTTCTTTTGTTCTCTCCCAGTTCACATTTGGGTTTTTGTTGGTTAATTGGAGATAGGAGTCTCTCTGGCTGGCTTTGAACTGCCGTCTTCAGGGCTCAGCCTCCTGAATAGCTAGGATTACAGGAATGAAGCCACTAACATCTGGCTGAGAAATCTCTTTATTAAATATTTATTGAGCATGTGTTATGAGATCATGGAGCTATAAAAAATAAAAATGTGTTTCTGTGTTCCAGGAGTTGATAGTCTATGTATAATAAATATAATATTAAATGAACAAAGCTTTGTGAGCATTGGAGAGTAGTTGGTTCTGCTGGGAGAATGGGGAAAGTTAGAAAATGTGAATGCTGGAGAAGGCCTCTGCAGGCAATAACTAATGGGGTTGGGAATGTGGCTTAGTGGTAGAATGCTTGCCTAGCATGCATGAAACCCTGGGTTCAGTTCCTCAGTACCACATAAACAGAAAAAGCCAGTGGTGTTGTGGCTCAAGTGGTGTATAGTATCTCTGAGCAAAAAGAAGCTCAGGGACAGTACCCAGGTCCTGAGTTCAAGCCCCAGGACTGGCAAAAAAAAAAAGCCTCAGTTTTACTAGACTTTGTATATGTGGGAAGATATTGTAGTTTAGTGATAAAGAACACAGATATTTGGAATCAGTTTATGTGGTTTAGAATGAGTTCTATTGCTTTTGATGTCAGGGATATTACTTAACATGGTGACTGGCACACAATAGATATTCACAAAACAAAAATTGTGTCCACCACTATTCTTTTTTTTTTTTTTTTTGGGTCCGGTCGTGGGGCCTGAACTCTGGGCCTGGGCGCTGTCCCTCAGCTCTTCAGCTCAAGGCTAGCACTCTACCTCTTGAGCCACAGCACCCTTCCGGTTTTTTTCGTTTTGCTTATGTGGTGTTGAGGAATCAAACCTGGGGCCTCAGGCATGTAAGGCATGCCACTGAGCCACCTTCCCAGCCCCACCACTATTATTCTTACACATGTGGTTATTAAGCACTAAGCAAAGACAACCGTATGAACCCACATAACATTGTTTGCAGAGACTCACGTAGCATGGCTATATGTGGAAGTGTGTTGGGGGATAGTTTGGAGTACTGGCAAGTTGTCATGGCAAAGTAGCACAGTAGATGTGCTTAGTCACTAGCTGATGTATCCTTGGCTGCTGTAGTAGTAGGAACTATTTGAAAGAATAATGCAAAGTTCATACAGGAGAAAAGAGCCCGAGGCGAGTGGGGAGAAAATTGTCAGAGATGTGAAGAAAGCTCTAAAGAAGCATTTTGAAGAGGAATGACTAAGTATCAATTTGGTTAGTCATTGGATTTGACAGAAGGCCTCTGGTGATCTTAGAATCTGTGTGCAATGTGGGTGGGGCGTCTGTGGGAGTGAGTGTAGGATGGTTGTGATGGTCAGCCATCAAACCCGTGGCATGATGGGGAAACAGCAAGTGTGTACTTTTCTGTTTGTCTTAAATTAGGTGGTACATAGAAGGTTGCAGTTTCTGGAAGAATAGAACTAGGAGGGATTAAAATGTGAATTAAGAAGTTGATTTTAGGAGATGTTCACCCACTTTTGCTGGATGAGTCTTGGTTTGACCTCTGTGTCTACAAACAGCTTCCTGTATGGCCTGGACAAACCACTCAAATACTTGTCACAATAAACATCTCATAGGAAAGCTGTAATGGCTAAACAAGATAATGTTAGCTGGAAGAGATTTTCAGCTGAACTTTAGACAAATATTAGTTTATAGTAAGTACACTGTTTAAACCCTAACTTCTCCTAAAAATGTTTGCAATTTAAGACTACTAGTATGTAGAATGGAAGAATATGAGAGAGAAAAGAAGTATAAAAGGAAAGATAGGGAAGGAATAGGAGGGAGGGAGGTAAGAAAGGAGGGACGGAGTGAAAAGTCTGAGAGAGACAAGGAATGTGAATGAATGAGTGAACAAATGAATCCAAGATGGCTCCAGTTCAGAAAGCATTGCTTTCTTTTTTTTTTTTTTGCCAGTCGTGGGGCCTGAACTCTGGGCCTGGGCACTGTCCCTCAGCTCTCTAGCTCAAGGCTAGCACTCTACCACTTGAGCCACAGCGCCACTTCTGGCTTTTTTCTTTTTGCTTATGTGGTGCTGAGGAATCGAACCCAGGGCCTCAGGCATGCAAGGCAAGTGCTCTACCACTGAGCCACCTTCCCAGCCCATAGCATTGCTTTCCTCTTAGCATTGCTTTGTGAGTTCACAAAGGCAATCCTAGTTTTTCAGATGTTTTGTAACTAATATTTACTGTGCCCTTAGAGGGAGCCCCTGGTTGATTTGCCTGTCTGTGGTTTCAGTTCTTTCGTAAAGAGAAGAAAAGACCGAGGCCACCTTAAGTGAGCAAGCTGATTTTTATGTGAAGCTGTTACAAATAGTGGCAATAGTAATAATGTTTAGTAGTGGTAATAATAAATGTTTGACACTGCAAATGATAACTAGTGCATGATTGATTTTAGCTTTACCTAATTTCATAACATTAAGCCTTGTTATAGTCTAATCCTAAAGTTCTTAGATCATACATTTTTCTTACTGCTTAAATTAAGTTGCTAGGCCTTTTGTGGTCTTACCTACAATTTTATTATACACATTTTTTTCCTTTTTTTTTTGTGCCTGAACTCAGGGCCTGGGTACTGTCTCTGAGTTTCTTTGCTCAATGTGAGCATTCTACCACTTGAGCCACAGCTCTACTTACAGCTTACTTGGAGACAGAGTCTCGTGGACTTTCTTTCTTTTTTTTTTTTTTTTGGGTCCAGTCATGGGGCCTGAACTCTGGGCCTGGGCGCTGTCCCTCAGCTCTTCAGCTCAAGGCTAGTGCTCTACCACTTGAGCCACAGCACCACTTCTGGCTTTTTCTGATTATGTGGTGCTGAGGAATTGAACTCAGGGCCTCATGCATGTAAGGCAAGCACTCTACCACTGAGCCACCTTCCCAGCCCTTGTGGACTTTCTTTCTTTCTTTTTCTTTTTTGTCATTTGATACCTGAACTGGGGCTTGAACTTGGGGTCTGGGCACTGTCCCTGAACTTTTCTGCTCAAGCTAAGGTTCTACCACTTTGAGCTACCGCTCCACTTCTAGTTTTCTGGTGGTTAATTGGAGATAAATGTCTCATGGACTATCCTGCCCCAGACTGGCTTTGAACTCTGATCTTCTGCTCTCAGCCTCCTGAATAGCTGGGATTACAGGTGTGAGCTACCAGTGCCCAGCCTCATGCACTTTCTTGCCCCAGCTGATTATGATCCTCAGATCTGTTTCCTGAATAGCTAAGAATACAGGCTTGAGCTGTCTGCTCCCAGCCACATATTTCTTTTTCTTTTCTTTTCCCTTCCTCTCTCCCACCCTGCCTCCCTCCCTGCCTCCCTCCCCCTCTCTTCTCCCTCCCTCCCTCCCTCCCTCCTTTCTTTCTTTCTCTCTCTTTCTCTTTCTTTCTCACTCTCTTTCTCTCTTTTTCTCTCTCTTTCTCTCTCTTCTTTCTTTCTTTCTTTCTTTCTTTCTTTCTTTCTTTCCGCTCTTCAGCTCAAGGCTAGCACTCTACCACTTGAGCCACATTGCCATTTCTGGTTTTCTGGTGGTTTGTTGGAGATAAGAGTTTCACACTTTTCCTGTCTGGGCTGGCTTTGAACCTCGATCCTAAAATCTCAGTTTCCTGAATAGCTAAGATTACAGGCATGAGCTATCTGCTCCCAGCTACACATTTGTTTCTTAAATTGAAAAGTGGGCTGGCTGAGTGCCAGTGGCCCATGCCTCTAATCCTAGCTACTCAGGAGGCTGAGATCTGAAGTGGAGCTGTGGCTCAAGTGGTTGAGTGCTAGCCTTGAGTTGAAGAGCTGAGGACAGCGCTAAGGTCCAGAGTTCAGGCCTACAATGGACAAAAAAAAAAAAAAAAAAAAAAAAAGAAAAGCAGTACTTTCTTTGCTTAGTTGTAACTAGTCTAATAGACTCTAATAGAGAGAAAAACACTATCTTGTAGGGTGATAGTAAGATAAAATGAACTACAAAAAAACTTAAACTTGGATTGTTGCTAGACACAGTTGTTAGTGGCTATCATTATCATTCTTTAAGTCTCTTTTGGGACTTGGACTCAGTATGGAACTCTTATTCAGCTTTCTTGCTCATAGCTGACCATCTCTACCACTTGAGCCATGCCTTTACTCCAGCTTTTTGCTGGTTCATTTGAGATAAAAATCTCTCAGATTTATCAGCCTGGGATGCTTGTGATCCTCTACCTTACTCTGCATCTTGAGTGGTTTAGGATTAAAGGTGTGAGCCACCGGTACCAGCACTATTAGTTCTTTATAAATACTTGATATATCTGAAAAACACTAACACAAAGTGGTTGTTGAAAAAGGGTGGGATTTTGTTTTGGATGCACTGAAATAAGTGAGTTTCCTTAACTAGAACTCAGATTCTATGCTGGTGTCTGTTGTGGGGATGGCTCTCTACACTGGGTATGTGTTTATGCCCCAGCACATCATGGCTATTCTGCACTACTTTGAAATTGTACAGTGACCACAACAAGACCAGGATCAAGAGGTTCCTTGGGAGAAGACACACTCTACAAAGTTGGAATAAGATTTGATCTGATGCCACAAGAAACTCTACTGGACATCAACATCACCAACCTTCACAATATAAAGACTAAATTTCCATGAGTAGAACAGGAAAAAGCATCCTGACTCATGTGTTGTGTTCTTTATTTTTAATTTTAAAAGAGGCTCTTGTATAGTAGCTTTTGTCTATTTTAACATTGTAGTCATTTGTACTTTGATATCAGTATTTTCTTAACCTTTGTGACTATTTCAATAAGACCCTGTGAAAGCTTTTCTTAATGTAACTTTGAGTACATTTTAATTGCCTTCTATTTTTGAAATCCAAGGTCATTAGTTGGGCTCTATTGTTCTTGCAATTGTAATGGCATATACACCTGCCTGGGTATATTTCTACTCTTGACCAAAGTTTTGTAAGAAACAATACATGATTTGGGGCAGGGGGAGAGGGAGGGAGGATATTTTACACAAAAGACTTACCTGTAAGCTTGAACTCAGGAGTTCAGTTTTAGCTATCTAGATTCTTAACAGCTTTTGATTTAAAACTACTAAAGTGTTTCTTAGCAATGACAAAGAAAAAGATCTTGCTGAAATTAATATAAAGAACATTTCACCTTTTAAATATTTAATTCTTATGTGGATTTACTTCCATGAGACTTTAGTGCTGGTTTTGTGACTGAGATTGGTTAAGTAGATTTATTCAGGGATGCTTAGATACAAAGTAGAGTTTTGACTAGAAGGGATCAGTTTCCATGGAGATACTATTAGCAATGTATGTTCTTCCTGAAATTTAGGTCCATGATTGTAACAGGTGCTGCGAATGTATTTGCACATTGTGATGTAATGAGATGAATTGTTTAAAAAAAGTGTAAACTTGGTTCAAATCCTTGCACTCTTTGTATTTTTTTTAAAGATTTTTATTCCTTAGATGTAAAATGACTACCTAATTTTTGATGTAAACTCATTAAATCCAAAAAGGAAAAAAAGTCAATTTAGAAGTGTATTTTTTTCTTTATGATTAACTATTGCTCTAGTAGTTTAGTTCAGAGTTGATTGAGGGACCAGATAAGTAATAATACACACATGCACACACACATATATAATACACATACATATATATGTATTTACATATTTATGGTCTCTGTCGCTCTTTCATTCTGATTCAGGCTGGTCTGGAACTTGCCATGTAGCATAAACTAGCCTTGAATTCTCAATTGTCTCAGCCTCCCAAGTTCTGGGACTATAGGTGTGTGCCATCAGTGCCTGCAGTAAGTGTTTATATCTTTTTTTGTTGTTGTTGTTGTTGGTTGTAGGGCTTAAACTCTGGGCCTGCACACTGTCCCTCAGCTCAAAGCTAGCGCTTTATCACTGGAGCCACAGTGCCATTTCCAATTTTCTAGTCATTTATTGAAGATAAGAGTCTCATGGGCTTTCCTGCCCCGGCTGGCTTTGAGCCACAACATCAGATCTCAGCCCCTTGAGCAGCTAGGATTACAGGTGTGAGCCACGGGCACCCGGTTAAGTGTATATCTTAATCTGTCTCTGAACATAAAAGTTCTGATAATTAAAAACAAAATATGCATCCTATATATATTTCTTGCTTGTTTTTTTGGTCCGGTCGTGGGGCCTGAACTCTGGGCCTGGGCGCTGTCCCTCAGCTCTTCAGCTCAAGGATAGCTCTCTACCACTTGAGCCACAGCGCCACTTCCGGCTTTTTTCTTTTTGCTTATGTGGTGCTGAGGAATCGAACCCAGGGC